TCTTGAGGACAAGAAAGGTCTAATCTTGGCTAGGTTTGATAGGTGCATTTTATGCACCTATTTTGCATGTCTATTTCTATCTTTTCATTGCATTTTACTTCATAATTCTTTCATTTAGTTTATTATTTTGGAACTTGCATTTTATTATTTATTATGGTCGGAATGCCTGGTATTTCACTATTTTTGATTAATTTTATAGGCATTATGAAGCTTGGAGCATTGGAACTATGGAGGCGAGCTTGCAGCATTGGAGCATAAAGAGAAGATGGATTGGTCATGTCATGGAAGAAAGCATGAAGACACAACCCGAGTCATTGCATATCATCATAACAAAGGACTACGTTTGAAACACGGGTCGTGTCACACCGACATGTATCGTGTTTGCCAAGTCTGAAGACTTATTGGAGTTTTAGCAAAAAGGCATAGCCATGCTAGAAACACATGTTCATGCTAAAAAGACATGGTCAAAACACATGGTCATGCTAAAAACACATGGGCAAAAAGGCATGACCATGCTAAAAATGCATGGTCTTATGGAAAGTACATGAGCAGTTAATAAAATAAAGGAAGTCGCCAGATTTTCACAAGGGACGATTTTGGGCGATTTTTGGGAGCTTTTGAAGATTTCTAATCATTGCAAACACTTTGATTTCCCTTTTGTAAGCATTAAACATTTCAATCCTATCTTTCTTCTTGTTTAATTTTTCTTAGCCATGTGTGGCTAAGAAACCTTAATTTCCGGTTTTTGTTCAAAACATGTTGATTGCTTGACTTGAAGCATATGGCTTGATATTTGGTTTATGATTCTATTCTACTGATTACGTTCTTTGTTTAAACTAGAATCCTTGAATTTGATTTGTGTTTGATTGACCACTTATATGAATCGAATTCTTGTGTAGTTAATTAACTTTTAGGGAACCTAATCGTTCTATAAAGTTAATGATTGGTAACAAACAATAAGTCTTCTTATTGTAGAACATATATCACATGTTTTCACACTTCCGAGCGTATGAGAAGAAATGAACATTGTTGGGCAGCTTGTATAAAACTTAATGTAGTTTTTCAATACAATCTAAGAGCGTGTTTGGATTGAATTAGTAATGTTAGGTCTAGTCAAAGAGCGTATTATGGTTAGATAATTTGGCAAGCAAGAGGTATTAGAGTGTGTTAATATTCTTCTGTACAGTAATCATGAATTACATCAAGTCATAATCAAGTTAAACAACAACATTGAGAACTAGAATTAGAATCATTTCAACAACTTGTTTACAAATCTATTTCATTTTCTGCATGTTTTCAAAGTAAAGTGTTATTTTCATTATTATACTTTTGTAAACAAAACCCCATTTGAGACCAAAGTACCTTGCGCAATGAGATATAGACTTTTATTTTGTGTCTCTGCGGTTCAACCCTCTTGCCTTGTACTACTTTTTAGTGCATTAAAGTAGTGTATTTGCAGTCCCTTGTACCCCTATTATTTGTTGGTTTTGACACACCTAACACACTCACTGAGCGATCATCATCAATCTCTACCTGCAATGGATAATCCAAAATCCAGGAGCATCACTAAACTTCTTTGCTAAGCACAATAGATACAAAGGATCGGGTAGCACCCAAATCGAATAGAACATGAGAAGTCATATCATTGACTAAGAAAGTCTCTATACATGATCAAATAAAATATGAGAATATACAAGAGTGCAAAGCTTGAAAAAGTAGGGTTTAGTCATCAGCGGTACCCATGGTGTGGCCTATACCAGCCACGTCGTGGCATGTCAAATGAACTCACGACTAAAAAATGACTCGTCACGCCGTGGCGATCCTTCACCACACCTTGGCGACTCTAAAAGTCAAATTTCATAAATGAATATGAACCTCAAGTTTCGAATGTTACAAAGAATCATCATCACTATGACTTTCGTTGTATGTTATGTCCTCGACAATAATAGATTCCATTTGAGAATCAAAACTTTTGGTTGTCGAAGAGAAATCATTATTTGGCTTCATTGTTGAGTCAACATTTTGTTTGCCTTTAGTTAACGAAGTGACATTAATGACGGACAATTTTGAGTAATCAACACATTACTCCTCCTTAATTTCACTGATATTCTCAGAATCATCTTCGATATCAAAAACATTTTGTTGAGAACTTTGTGTCGAATTCTTAGTTTTGTTCAAAATTTGGATTTGTTCGTTTTTGGTCAACGTCTCATTCATAATATTAACCAGTTCATCAACATTTAAACATTCATTTATGTTAACTACACATGCATATGAATAATTTGGAATGGTGTCATAGTCAGCTACTTTACTTTCACAGTCGAAGTTTGTCTCATTAACTAATTCTTTTTAAAACTAATAAAGGGTAGTAGCTTCTTATGTTATTCAACACTAATATCAACATAATGATACAGATTTGTTAACTTTTCATACAAATGTTTGACGATATTGCAATATATTTTTTGCTATTTGACTAGCATACAATTATCCATTCGAATAGTATCCTATCACACATAATATTTGTTATCTTTATATCTGGACTTTCTGTCTTACTATTCTTCTCCTCCAACTTATTTCTGGCTTTATATAGTAAGGCCTTAGATTTTTCTGCTTCACTACTCATGGAAATCAGCATGTCATTCAGATAAGAGTAAGTTTCATCAAAATCATATAAAATAGCATGATAAAAATTTAAAAGAATATTAAGAGAGACAAGAAGATCATGCACCTTCACTTTCAATGGAGATTTTGGTGCAATCGAAACAAAGCACTTCCCAATTTTCTCCTCATCTTCTTCATCATTCTCCTCTCCCTTTGCATTCCCTATGTTTCCATCAACACTATCTTCTACATCACCTTGAAACTAGCTCTTTCCTCCTAATCCACCTTTTTCGTGTTTAGAAAACAGTACTCCATGTGTGGGATGATGCATATCCTCGTCATCTGACCCTGAGGACCATATCTAATAAGTACCATCACTTTCATCATCTCCCTTCACCATCAAAGACAGATTCTTAGACATAGTGTGAAGTTCTTCAAATTTCATTTAGTAGTATGCTTCGTCCTTCACTTTTTCTTTCTTTTCCTCTTTCTTCCTCAACATACAATATTTTTTCAAATGATTATGACCATACATTAATTGTAGTTGTATCCTGAATCACCCTTCAATTGTTTCTCAACCTTCTTCTCTTATTCTTTCTTCTCAACTTTCACAACTCATTTCTGATTCACACTAGCATCATCATCGGTTTCTTCTCCAAGTTGTTCTTGAAATTCCCACTTATCGACTTTTTGTAGAACCTTTTTCACCCTATCATTCGAATAATAGGCAACAGCTTCATCGTCAAAATTTATAAGAAATACTTCTTCACCTTGTTTTGCCTCATCAGCAGACTCATCGTCCTTCACGTTCATCTTAGACACAAGTGCCATTGGACCTCCAAAATTCATTTTGTTTTCTTCAGCTATCTCAATGACTTCTGATTCATGCGCTTTCAGAATATTGTAAAGATTTGACAAGGAGTATGTGTTGAAATTCTATTGTGTATTTATCATCCGACAAATATTTTTTCATTCCTTTATGAGTTTGAAAACAAAGGTGAGGTTGAACTCTAGAGTTGTACCAATCACACCATATGCATTTGAAAATCAAATCATTAAGTCTGTCGTACTATGCCTCAATGCTCTTATTTTTCTTTTGCTTAAAATCTACTAGTTCAGACAAGCATTTCTTCACTGTTCTTTTCTTTCAAAGTATCCCATATCTCTATATCTCTTTTGATGTTTTGCATCCACGAGCATAGCTGTAAACAAAAGGTAGAATAGCTCCTCGCAGTTCAGGGAGACATCTTTTGTCATTTGCTTTCTTCTTGTTTCCCTGTGTAATCATATCTTCAGCTGCTCCAGCATTTCCAGTGACTTGAACCAAATCAGCTCGATATGTTCCAATCTCGATCGATCTCCATAGATCCTCATCGATTTCGTTCAGATAATCTTCCATACAGTCAGCCCACTGATCATAGTACTCTGGGATCAACATTGGAATCTTGGTTGCAGATCCAAGTAGATTCACAAAGTTCATTATTGTGTTAAACATTGAGATTTCCTATTAGAATGAATGAAAAGAGGAAATTCTTGAAAAGAAATGAATTAAATGCTAAAGCGACTAACAAAAACAGATGCAGAATCAATCAATCACACTTGATTAAACAAAGAATTATGTTTCTATCTGCGAAAATATTGAATTGGAAAGATCCACTAAACAAGATAAAAATGTGAACAAATTATTCAATCAAAGTAATGATTTCTTCTCTAATACCAATTGAAAGTAGTTTAGAAATGTGTTTAAGTCAATCGATTAAGAAAACAGAAAAATAACACGTCGATCTAAATAAGATCTGGTTTCAATACTTGTATTACAGATGAGCACAAGGAGTTTGAGTACAAGTAATGATAATACGAATGATGCAAAATTTACTATACCCTCAATGTACAAAGAGTATGGGTGATGGTGACATAAAGCCATTGATTGACAATGCAATCAATTTCACACCATTTATGATCATCTAGTTTGCTTGCAGAACCCTCGAGATGGAATATAAAGTAACCTTTTGCAATGAGTTTGAAATAACTCATGCCACGCAATAAAGTCTATCGAAGTCCAACATAAGAGGAACATACGATTTAAGAGGAACAACATTTATGATCATCTGGTTTGCTTGCAGAATCCTCGAGATGACGGAATACAAAGTAACCTTTTTGCAGTGAGTTTGAAATAACTCATGCCATGCATCAAAGTCTGTTGAAGTCCAACATAAGAGGAACATACGATTTTATGTTCGTAATACCATAGATCTTATCATGTGGATTGGGGGTAGACATGATTAATATATAAGAGAAGGCATATATCGACAAAAAAAAAGAATAATAACGATCGGAGTGATTAAATTAATGATTGGCTAGGTTTATTTAGCATGATACCATGTAAATAACTATTTTCCCATAATGATTTCTCGTATTTTATCAAAATATATAACTACAATGACAAGGGCTAAATACAAAGTGGGCTTACAATACACAATGGGCACACTAAATACAATGAAAATACAATACGTTTGACAATCAAGAAACATGAAAATAGAATTTACCATTAATTTTTACTTCACATTAATCATAGTCCCAGTCGTCTGAGAATTCCTGCATAAAGTAAATAAATATAAAGTTGAAAATATAGGTTGCTTAAGAATGATTAAACTTACATAAAACGTGTCAAATGTTGCTTAAGAATGATTAAAGAAAGATCTAGTTTACCTTTTGTTTGATCTTTATAAAGGAGTTGATGTCTTCCCCTGCATAAAACGATCCAAATCTTGTTTCTATTTCTTTTAGCTTCGGAGTAGCTAAATTTCCCTTGGTGAAAGTCCGTATTGTTGGACATTCCTTGATTAGCAAAGTATCCAATAATGGGAATGAAAAATCCTCCTTCCCCAAGCTAAACCCCTGAAAACATCGAAGATAATGAAGAGATATGGACTTTAGACGAGGTAACACAAGTATCTCATTCGACTTGCCATCAGATTCCTCTTCTACAACACCACTTGCATCTTTCACAATTACATCCACCAAAAGGTCACAGTCGGTTATACGTAGCTCTTGGAGTTGCAATAGACTACTAACCATGGAACCACTAAAAACATGTCCTAATCTATCACATTTATATATATAAAGTGTTGTTAGGTTTGGAAACTCAAATGTTGTCCATTGATTGCTCTTCCATATATTCCTCAGACTACCTAGATTATCTAACTTCACTTGTGTTAAGTTTGGCAGTCTGACAATAGTAGTAGTTTGTGATGATTCATCAAACCCATGTCCACTAATACTATTTCTATTTCTCCCTGCTTCTTCCAATGCCTCAACTACCTCAATTGCCCAATCACAGTGCTTGACATGAATCTTTTCAAGCTTTTGCAGTTGCAGCAACTCACTGGATGGAATAATCTTTTTAACATAATTCCATTTCACGTCTAATTCGATCAAGTTATGAAAAGACCAAGGCATCCCGGATGAGTTGGGAAATGGGCTCTGCAAGTTCAATACAGAAAACGTCATAGGCATATGTCAAACAAAAAAAACATTTCAATGTCATATGTTGTAAGGTTAATGAAACTGAATAGATTATCAATATTAGTGACAATAATACTTAAATCCAACTAAAATTTAGTGAATTAACTGCTTACTATTTTTGATCTTATAAAGTAAGTTAGACATGTAATGTGATTTTGGAGGTTTTTGCATTCTTCGTCAAAATGGAAAAGTTTGATTCCACGTGACAACATAAACTTAGACTGAAACTAGTGTTAACGTGATTAATATATTTTACTTGGCATGATCATGTTATCTTAATTAGATGATGCCAAAGAAAGATATAAGTAGTTATACCTGATGATGTGTAACATGAAAGTTAAGGCCACATTCAAGAGAATGTTTGCCTAATTTTGTGTGTATATACTTGAGTTCGGGAGTTGTGGACCCACCAGGTGCAAACACCATCATTTTGGGGCAATTATCGATCTTAACCTTATCCAATGAAGGCAACCGGAACTCATTCATCCCCAAGAAGAAACCCTCCAGCTCTGGTAGATTTAGTATTTCAACCGACTTTAGTTGAGGAAACTCCACAACATCCTTCGATGATGATGATGATTGATCTTCTTCTTCCTTCAAAATCACTTTCATTGACCCACAACCAGATATCGTTAACTCTTCGAGCTGTCTCAGGCTTCCATGTGCAGAGAATGTGAAGATATGTTCCAAACTCTCACAATATTTAAGTTCCAATATCTTCAGATTGCGAGAGTGTATATTCAGCATTTGAAGCTTTGGAAGATCTTCCAGTGCAATAGACTTTAGACGAGGAAACACCACAACCTCCTTCGATGATACATCTTCTTCCTTCTTCACAATTACTTGCATTGCCACACAATCCTTTATTGTTAACTCTTCAAGCTGTCTCAGGCCTTCAAGTGCAGAGAATGTGAATATATGTTTCAAAAAGGGACAACCTACGATTTCCAATATCTTCAGATTGGGAAGCATAATAACCTTATTTAGTCTTGGAATTCCAGGTGTACCACCTTTACCTTCTTCACCACTACTCTTGTTGTTGCTGTTCATCTCTTGACTAACAAATACCTCCTTCATCCCATTGCAATTCTTTATTTTCAATACTTGAAGCTTTTGCATTTGTCCTGCTGCATTACATGGAATCACATATGACAATGCATGGCAGTATTTTATTATTATCTCTCTAGAGTATTGGGATAATCTCCAAGAAACACTATCTGCTTCAGAAAACTGCAGCAACAGATCAAAAATTAATGTAAATTTTAAACTATTGACACAGCTTTTGTATAAAAATTTTAATTCAAAATCTAGTTTTTTTATACTAAATGAAACTAGTGCTCTCCACCTCAAAAATGTAGTTTAATTTGCTTCTCATTTTATTACTAATGTTGGGATTTATTGAACAAACAATAAAAGATATACCACTTTACAACCTAAAATATAAGAATGAAAATTCAATGAAATAAAAAAAGGATATGTTAAACACAACAAACATAGAAAAATTAGTTTTGGGTTAATATTATAAATTGTTGAATTCTATCCTACAATACTTGTCATCTGATGGTCCCTGGTATCTAAACTAACTTTCATTTAGTTAAACACTTACTTCCTTTTTTTTCCTTAGTACTCTTTAGATTAGAGCACATGTCTTGGTTTTTATTTCTGGGGAAATGTAAGAATATATATTTGACAGAGGGTTAAGTTGCTGACTCTTACATTATACATCATTAATTCATTGATGTAGTTTACAATCGGTTAACAAGTTATGTCTTACATGCATGAACCTCAAATTTTAATGACCGACCAATCTTTGTCTGTCAATTTGGTTCGATTCTTGTCATTGTTGGAGAACACCAGTAGCAAAATTGTCACAAAACGATGTTCTAGAACGTGTATCCATCATCAGGTATGAACAAGTTACCTGTGTTGCAGAATTCATTGTGTTTTTAAGTTCTTTTAGTTTAAATACATCTACAATTAACGCAAGGATTTGTGGGCTTTAGCAGTTCAATCATAGACATGCTGGGATTTGTGGTCAATTGGTCATCCATGCTGACAGTGTATATATCAGAAGAGAAATACAGATTTTTGTTGAGTTAATTATGTTTGTTTTCATGTGTACGTTTTAAATAATTATCGTTAATGGTTAATCTTTGTGGTTTGCAATAGTTACCTTATCTACTTGGTGATTTTTTTTATTTTTTTGTTTTTTTATTTTTTTTTTTAATTTAGAAATCGGGTCCAGCATATGGGGGTAATGTTGCAACTAGTGTTGCGTAATCTCAGTCAGGTACCTATCATTGCTCGTGTGTGTGTGTGTGTATATATATATATATATATATATATATATATATATAAGCATATGCATATATACTTATTCATATGCATATGCATATGTATATACTTATTCATATGGATGTGCATATGCATACCGTATTTTTATGTATATAGAGACTTTAAAAATGTTTTTTTTTAATATGCACGTCATTTGCATATGTTTTTTAAAAATATGCATATACACAAAAAAAATGTGAATATGCATTAAAAATGCATTTTTTTTGAAAAATTCATTTTTCAAATATTAATTTCAAAATTTGTGGAATAATTTCGTAGATTAAAAAAAATAATTAAATTTAAAAAAAAAATTCAAATATATGAAAATATGCCTTATGTTTCGAAAATAAGATTTAAAAAAATAATTTTTCAAAAAAATGCATTTTAATATATATATATATATATATATATATATATATATATATATATTCAAAAAAATGTGCATAAATATATAAGTATATTATTTTTTTTTCAATGTTTTTTGTAATCGTCCTAGATATATGTATTAACATGAAATGTGAAATTTGGTAACTAAATTCATTGTAGATAAAAAAAAATTGTTGGTTCTCTCTCTCAATTTAGTTCTCCATTGATCTTGCATTTATATATATATATATATATATATATATATATATATATATATATATATATATATATATATATATGTGTGTGTGTGTGTCATGGCATTTATGCTTTAGGTAATTATTATCTTAGTCTAGTGTGTATAAAATGAGTTGTTATGTACATTAAGACTTGAATATATATTGGTTCGAATTATAGCAATAAAGGAAAAAAAATGTCCATAATAAACACAATTATGAAAATGGAAAATTAATCTAAGATGCTTGGTTATAGAAACAGCAGAGGATTCACATAGAATGGCAAACCTAACTAGACATGTGTGCATTTTTTCATTTAGAAAAAATAAAAAAAAAATCATATCAATATATGATATGAATTGTCATAACGAACAAATTCAAGGTAATATTTGTTCAAATGAATTGAACTTGTTATGCCTGCAAATCCTATTCTTGAGTTTACATGGTAGGCAATGGTGTGCAATAAAAGTTTAAATCGCTTATATGTGATTTGGTGATTTTCTTAGAATATTGCAAAGAAAAAATGGATATTAATAAAGAAATTAAATTAGTAATTGAATACGCACAAAACATACCATAAGTTGATTAACGAAAGCGGTAGTTGTAGTGGTATTGTTGGAAGATATTTCATTGCTCCCATCTTTGGCACCACCTCCACCAATACGTTTTAGATTCTTCAGTTGTTTTAGAGTGAGAGAATCAAGCTGAGGGAACAAGATGGGGCTTGTGTGGGCAGATGTAGATGTAAATGTAGTCTTTTCTTCATCCCCATCATCTCTATTTGAAACAACTTCTTCAATACCATCACACTGTTCTATCTTGACTTCCTTTAGGTTGGAAAGAAGTTCTGCCATGAGAGGTGAAAACAAGTACTTAATGCTTCTGCAGTCCTCCACATATATGTTTGTGAGGTTGTGGAATGGTGATTCTGATTGTTGTTTTGGAAGAGTGAAAAAAAAATTTCGGTTGCACTTCCACACATGACTCATGTTGTCCATATCACTTAGATTCAAATTCTTGAGGTTGGGAAGTATAGGTTGTTGCTTATGGTGAGTTGTTACCAATTCTCTACTTGTTGGAATCTCTATCTCAAACACCACCTCCACTCCTTCATACCTCTCCAATGCAAGTTGATGGAGGTTATGAAAAGAGTGTATGATAGAGGATGGAAATACAACATTAGCAATGCTATCAGTGACTTTTTGTAATGTTTCTTCCTCTAACAGAATATCACTCTGCACACATACACCAACAAGAAATGTAATTATTGACGTAAGTATTGAATTGTGTTAATGATTTATGATTCCATGTCCATTCATAATTCTTTCTTTTAATTTTGGATTTTAATAAGATTGTTTTGATTTTAGGTAATTTTTCAAGAAACTTTTGTAGATGATTTAAATTGTTAACGGATTAGAAATAGGTGCATTGTTCACCTTAAGATAAATTATTAGATGTTATAGGCTCCTATGCAACAATAAAAATATGTTTTAATTAAGATGTGATTTATTTTTGAATTAACAAAAGAAAAAGTTGGGTTGAAATTCAGTTAATAAGCAACGATATACAGTTAAAGGGTTAAGTTCACTAAATTTAGCTGCCCATCCAAATCACCAAGAGTGTTTCCAAACCTATGTCCATGTGCTTTTAACTATCTTCCTTTTTGACTGCTTAAGCCGACACTGGTACCCCTTATTAAATTTAAAAAAAAAAGTGTACGAATAGGTTCGATCTTGGGCATCACAACTAAAATAAAAATAATAATAGGAAAATTGAGTCAACTGCAAAGCAATGGTCATTGTGATTAGCATTTTTATGCATTTCTTGTCTCTGAATATGAAAATTGCAAAAAAAAAAAAAAAAAAAAAAAAAAAAAAAAAAAATCCTTTCATTGTGTGGTTTTTATCTATAAGACTTTTATCACTAAGAGAGGACAGTTAAATATTATAACAATTATATCCTTTGTTTTATATAAATGAAAATGGGCCCACCATAAACCATCCCTCCTCTTCACGGTCAATCATGTTCTCCGGTACCCCCAAACCATCTCCTCTATAAATCTCACACTCCTCACCGTCCTTTTTGTAAGATAATAGATTGCTTGATTTCCAAAGACGACAATTACATAGGAATATATAAAGAACACCTAAACCCTAATAGCTAAACCCTAAAGCGCTTGGGCCTAAACACTAATCACTAACATCCCCCCCGCAGTTTGATCGGGAGGGGACGATTAAACTGGAAAAATAAACAAAAAAGATAAAACATAAAACCTAGATGAAGATAGTGGTAACTGCGGTGGTAGAGCTTTGACGATGGCGGCTAACATCAACTGCTTGTCGGAGAAGAAGAGAGAAGAATTGGCAACCAGAAGCGATTTTGTTGTTGAAGAAGAGAAGAGAGGTCACGACGATGACGATCATGCAACCGGCGGCAGAGGAGTCCGGAGAAAGGCATCGAGAAAGAAAGAGGGCTTGAGATGCGGCGGACGGAGCCAATTCCGGCGAGATCGGAGACTGCAATGTTGATGGAGAAAGAGACGACTGTAGATCAGAGACTGCTCGGTGGAGAAGGTGTCATCGGAGAGAGGCAGCTGCAACATCAGAAGGGGCTAAATCAGAAAAGAGATCTGAAGAAGTGGCCAGCCGAGGAGGAGGCGGAAGGTGAGGAGGCATATGTCATCTGTGGAGGAGGTAGAAGTAGACGAGGCAATAGAAGAAGCCGATGAAAGGGCTATGGTTTGGTGCCACTAGCTGTTTTATTATTTAGGTGACGAAGAGAAGAAACGGAAAAATAAGGAACATAATGAAAGCACCTCCAACGACAATGAGAAAATGTCGTCGGAGGTGGACGGCGGCGGCTATGAGTTGTGGTCAGCAGTAGGGTTTTAACCTAGAGCTCTGATATCATGTAAGATAATAGATTGCTTGATTTCCAAAGACGACAATTACATAGGAATATATAAAGAACACCTAAACCCTAATGGCTAAACCCTAAAGGGCTTGGGCCTAAACCCTAATCACTAACACTTTTCTTATCTCCACTCTACTACTAACAGATCAAGAAATAAAATACGCCATCAGAAAATTTAAAATCAAGATGTGTTTGTGTATTTGATCAATTCTCCCTTCCATCTTCATCTACCATATCCACCAGACCCACCTGGACCATTTGTTTCAAGCTAATCTCTCAATAATGTGGATTTTTATCAATTTGAAGTTGAAATCGCTCCACTTGCTATGAAAATCAAGAAAAAGGATAAAAGGATTTTATACAGGGTTTTAGCTTCAACTCTCATCTATCTGATTATGTTGATCGAGTTTTAAACAGAATCAATTCTGGAACTTAAAGAGTTGTTGATGATATTTGGTTGAAATTAAGTTTAGAAAAAAAAATTACTCTTATTAAAGTCAAGTCCGTTTACTTTAAGTTATTTCAGGTTAAGGGTTTCTTCGAGCCACATTTTTTTTTTTTGCAAGAAAGTAACATTTTATTTTATAATTTAATAATTAAATTTGTTATTTTTTACCAAGAGTAATTAGTGACATTTATAATGATTTATTAACTAAAGTTAGGTGATGTCTGATTAGTCACATTTCTACACCATCTCTAACGAGAAATCATGCTTTATATATATATATATATATATATATATATATGATATATAGATATAATATATAGATATATATATATATATATATATAAAAAGTCACATATATACATGACCTTTATTCCAACATTAATTCAAGAAATGGTTTGTGGCTTAATACTTAATTAAATAAGAAAGTGAAATTGAAAGCCATACCTGCTCTTCCTCTTCTATGCTCTCTTCCTCTTCTCTACTCTCTTCCTCTTCTATACTCTCCTCCTCTTCCTCTTCTATGCTCTCTTCCTCTTCTCTACTCTCTTCCTCTTCTATACTCTCCTCCTCTTCTCTACTATTTTCCTCTTCTCTACTCTCTTCCGAGTCATTTCCCTTGTTTTCTCCGCAATTCCTTATATCCATCTCTAAAAGTGCACCCAGATCAAAATTGGTTGTGGTAGGTGTGAATACATTTCTAAACATCTCACATTTTTCAATTTTTATGCTTTCAACAGCTTCAAAGCCACCGATGAGAGGACAAGAGTTGTCTTCGCCTTTTATCCTCCATACCTCTCTTAGCTTCCCTAATTTCCACACTTTGATGCTTCTTAAGTTGCTGGTGTTCTTTTCTTCTCCAATTTCACCGGCACTGTCCAAGTCGATGATGAATAAGGATTCAATGGAATCACAATTATCGACTTCAAGCTCTTCAAGATGATGCAGCAGAGACATGGGATTGTACGGAAATAGATTCACAAGCTTATCACAATTTCTCACCTCAATCTCTCTCAACTTAACTTCTGCACCTCTACTATGTTCACAAGGCCATATTTCCTTTATATTCTCCATGTAATCAATTTGGAGCGTCTCCAACTTAGGAATCACAACCTGCAAAAATAATATTCCGTTAATAGCCACATCCAAACAATAATACAGATATTCTAAAAGTTATAGTTAAAAAGATAGTTGAAATTGTATTTACATAAAACATATATATGTACCTCTTCCTTCAGCAAACTAGATGTTTCCAACTTGTTCTTTGGAAAAATGCTAGTGAAACCCGGCATGCTGCCGAGTTTCAACTCCACAAGTTCTGGTAGCTCAATTATGTTGACATTAAGACATAAACCCAATAGCTTTGGTAGTCTACACAAAGACAAAAACTTCAGCTTGGGAAACGTAATTGTATTTTTTCCACTACCCTCAGTCCCATTATGTACGAGTTCTTCCATATTATCGCAATCATAAACTTTCAGATGCTCAAGATTTGACAAAGTGTTTGCCACATGGAGTTTGAAAAGGTATCTCAACTCTACACACTCTGAAATGAAAAGGACTCTTAAATAGCAGAATGAAGAGGATTGAGGAGGATGTGTCGACTTTACCTCAACATCTTCAAGATCATTCATACCATCCACACTTAAAAAAAGCACCTTCGTTTTCACAAACAACTCATTAAGTTTAGAGTTGATTACTTCACTTTTGTTGGTCACCAAATGCAACGTGTTTTCATATGAGAGGCTACTCTTACCGATATCTCCATCTAAAAACCGTCCCACTGAGATCTTGAATCGTTCAAGATTCTCAAATGACATATTCTTCACTTGAGCGTTGTTATTAAAGAACTCAAATTCTAACGTAGAAAGGTTGTTTGAACGCTCTGCTATCTCTTTGTAGTTATCCTCTGTAAACCGGGTAGACCCATTCCTAATATAAAGTTCTTCAAGTTTCACCAAATATTTCAAGACATCCTTTTCTATACGAACACCATAACAGTTTGTCAAATCTAGCAGCCGCAATTTCTTCAAATTTCCGATTACGGAAGGTAACAATTCAATGTTAGAATTAGCAAAGCTGAGCACTTCCATGTTGAAAAGATTACCGATTGAAGAGCAATCAAACATCCTTAATGAACATTTATGGAGATGAAGCACTCGAAGGACGGTGGAACATTGAGGTAACGAGGGAAGCAATGGATACTTCATTTCATCGTATGATATAACCTCAAGCTTTTCCATTCCTTGATAAAAGTCTTGAGGATACCTTAGTGACTTACCTCCATGCATAAGTTTCAAAATCTTTAGGTTTGGAAACTTGAGGTCTCCGGGAAATTCCAACATACTCTTGCATGTTAATGAAATTTGTTTGCAAGAGTCACTGATATCATTTTCAGTCCACTCGGGCATATTACCATGGTTTATAATTGAAGCATGCTCCACTTCAGAAAACATTCCCAAAACAAAAGCACGAACCAGATCATGCATCTTGACATGCACACCATCATCACTTTCAATTAACAAATTTGTCTGCACCAGTCGCTCAATGCAGGTGTTGAGCCTGTTTCTTGCTTGTCTAATAGTATTAACTTTATCAAATAACTTTAAGCCCCATCCATACCTCATCAACTCCTCGATAGGTATATCAAAGTCTTCAAGAAACAAACCACACATCAAAAATACGGATTTAGTCTCCTTGTCTTTGAGATTGTTGTAGCTCGTTTCAAAGACTTTAGGCACAACACTGTGAATGTCATGGTGCTCTAAACGTGAAAGTGCATCCATCCATGCATCCTTTCTTTTATGTCGTAGAGTACACGCCATGGTTTTGATGGCAATTGGCAGACCGAAACACTTCTTTACAATATCTTCTCCTATCTTATGGAGCTCGGGCTCAGAAGTGACTACAAATTGGTGGAACAAACTTTGTGCTTCAGCTTCAATTAGAAGTCCCACGTTAAAAATTAAATTAGCTTCAACCCCCATTACTGTGCAAACATGTCTGTCTCGTGATGTCAACAAGACCTTGAAGTCGACACCTTGATTTGGAAAAGGACTTAAACCAATATCTTCCAGATCAACGGACTGCCAGACATCGTCAAGTATTACAAAGAACTTATTTTTGCCTCCATCTGATTTGGCCTTGAATCCTTGACGGAGCTTATCAGCTCTTGCTTGCTTAGATTTTTCATTGAGCTCTACACCTAGGTAATCTGCTATAGCGTCCTGAATGGCAACGGGGTCTGTCTTTTCCCCTATAATTGCTTCAACAATAAAGTTAAACATTTTCTTTTCATGCACAACCTTTTTCAGCCTTTGCATCATTGTGGTCTTCCCCACTCCGCCCATCCCACATAAGGCTATCATGTGGGATTTTTGGTTCACTCCGAGTGCTTTGAGTGCTTTTGTAAAAGTAACCTCTCTTGACTGGAAGTTATTGTAATTATTTGATGATGTAGAGGTGGATGCGTTCATGGAATCAACTCTTCCGAGAGGAATGGGATGATCAGTCCAAGTGATCATAGAGTGTCGTCTCATAACACTGTCGATCTCCTCAATTATATTGAAGGCTTTCCTTCCGACCTTGTGCCTAATTTTTAGATCAAAACAACTGCCAACGTCACTAGGAATGCTTTCCACTTTTCCGTTGATCTTTCCTACTTCTTCCAGCCAACCACTAACTTGCGCTGGAACCTCAAGACGATTACTTGTGTTATGATTCGTACGCTCCTCAATTCCGAGTCTTGCAACATTCAACTCTGCCATTTTGATACCCATATCCCTTGTGTATTTTGTGCAAGATATCATGTAGCCTAGGTGTTTCTTTACTGGAACCATGAGAATTTGAACAACTTGTTTCATAATTTCAGTAGCGACATCCATTGCTGGAAATTCTTGTGGTAGAACCTACAAAGTAGCCAACAATTTGATTAGACTGAATTTAATGGAAATTAATAATGGATGGAGTAATAACATGATCCTATATTCGTTGCATTTAGTAACGTTGTATTAGCTCTGGCCTATACCTATGGTGTAATCCGTCAAAATGTTCATATCATAATGTGAAATGAACATAAAAGATAAATTTTTAAGAATTTAAAGACCATAATAGAAATCATAAAGAATTGCTATTTCATTGGTTATTTATAAAAAAAAAAATCAAAATATGATTATTTTAAAAGTGATGCATTTTATTAAGGTTGGAACGAAAGATGATTTAATATGTAAAAAAGTCCATCTCCTAATTAAAGAAGAATTTAAGAATAAACTTTGTGCTAACTTTAAAGAAAAATTAGAGTATTAATCTTATAACAAAGTTTTCGTAATTATATTATTACAAATCCTTGTGATTCACAACCACATTTAAGTATTTGTTAATAGATCCAACTTTTGTCCGAGAAACCTGTGATTGAAATGAAATTAATCA